AACGACCCCTTGTGTGAAGAAACCCCTCCTCATTTCTAGCCTGAACTTCCCCTGGCGCAGTTTCAGGCTATGTCCTCTTGTCCTGTCACGAGTTGCCTGGGAGAAGAGGCCGACCCCAGCTTCACTACACCCTCCTTTCAGGTTGTTGTAGAGAGCAATCAGGTCTCCCCTCAGCCTCCTCTTCACCAGGCTAAACAAATGTCTTGCAGAATTACAAGTTTTCCTCCCCCAAGCTGAATAGGTAACTTCCACAGTACTGCCAACACCTATCTGCAAGAGGTCAAATCTGTGTATTGAATTCTGTTCTGCAATACCTAGTATAACAAAACTACCTTAACTGAAGCTGTTCTTTGGTCAGCGAAGCATTTTGTTAGATGTGGGGTTCACATGACGGCACTAGCCTCACAAACTGGACTTTTTGCTAGAAATTGGGACTTCTGATTTGGTAAGCTTGCCTTTCTGTGTGCAGCTGCCACTGATCCCACCACGTTAAAGAATGGTAAGACAGCCCTGAAGAATTCAGACTGTTATCTGTGCATTCGAAAAAGAGGAAAGTTTCTTCTAGCACGACTAGAGCCCATACTTCCTTAGCAGGTGCCTTGACAGTTACACAGCAGGTAGCAGCTGCAATATTACCCATGTTCAAGTACACCACTAGCTATACCGTACAGTTGCCTCAGTTCCCTCCTCCCTACACCATACTGAAATTGTAACCTCAATTAATTTAAGTTTACCTAAAAGATACAAAAATGAGTAGTCTTTACAACAGCATCTGATAAAGGCTAGAGGGACAGAAGAGGGAATACACCTTACTACGTTGCCACTGCCATCCCTAACCCTATTCTACTCTGGACTGTCAGGCATCCTACGGTTCCCAGCTTTTTACAGTCAAGGTAGCTCAAGATCAAACTTGACATTCTGCTCACTGCACTGAATGCCAGAGTTCTACCTAGAAGACAAGTTAATAATTCTGCTTCGAGACTCCTACAGATCTATCCTGTCACCAGTTTTCAACACTCAGTAAGCCTGCTTATCTTACAGTATTAAAAAGAGGTAGGCACCCCAGACCTAAAGCAGGAAGGGCAGCCAGGTCAAGGAAGGGGGAAGGGTTTTCTCACTGTAGATGTTATCAGGAAAGAGGATGCAACACCCCAGCTATGAAGGAGAGATGCACTTACTTGGGCTGGGCATGATGCTGATATCCAGGTCCAAGAGCTGATCCTGCCCTCATCTCCACTGCCACGGAACACTGAGAAGACACAGAAAAATCAGTCTGTATTGCTAAGCCCCCACCCAGCTATCAGCGTCACCCCAAATTCTCATCCAGATCAAGCATGAGATGTTTCCCTCCGTCCTTTTTAGCTTACTCTGGTTTCTACATCAGTCCATTCGGAGTCTGCAGTATCCTCAGGTGGGTCAGGATTGGAAGGTGATGATCTTCGCTTTCGACTGAAAGAGGAGTACGCAGAAAGGGAGTCACAGGCGTCCCATATTTTGGCAGATTCTCATACACAAAAGAATACATTTTATACTTCCTAAGTAAATACTTTTCTCCCAGCAGCAGACCAGCCTTAAAAGCAGCTACAGTATCTATAAGCCTCTCCAAGTTACTTTTATATGATTACAAGTTAGACACAACAACTTCCTGTTCAACCATTTGGACCAGAAACAGCTACACACGCACTATTGGAATTACATATCTCCAGCAGCGTCAGAACCCCAAATGATCACCAGTAACTCACCCAGTTGGAGATTCCTGCTTCAGAGTCTCTATCTCTGTGAACTGCACGGCCTGTCCACCACCCCTGGTTTTGAAAACGTCACCCTGGAGACCAAAAGCAGTTAACAAGATACAGTCACTGGGTCAATATGATAGCTACAGCACTGAGTTTCACATGAAAACCTGAGTGCTTAACCTGCAAGGAAGTGACAGTTGTAGCAGTCAGCAAGCACGTCTGCACAAATACACTCTCCTCCATTACAGCAGTCAGCAAGCACGTCTGCACAAATACGTAATGGAGGAGAGTGTATCTTCTCTTATTATACACAGGACAATAAAGAGTGAACACCATCTACCCTGATGATCATGCAAGATACCCACAGAGCAGTCACTACTACGACAAAGATACCCGTATGACAGTGACGACTATGTAATACTACAGAAATCATGGCACAGGCTTAGTTTCAATAGTTCCATTCCACAGCGTGAACAGGTATGTTGTTCGTTATGCAAGACTTTGTTCTCAGAAACATTGCTGGAACCTACAAAGTTACCTTACAGGAGTGAGGGCGTTTTTAAAACTCAAAAATAAAAAAAGGCAATATTGGAAGGCCTGTGACTATAGGAAAAAGGAACCAAAAGCTTCTTGCTATGAATTACAAAGAGCTCTCAATTTGCCTTAGGTGGGTACAGTCAGCATTTTAGGACACAAACATTGCAAGTGTTCAAAGCCCAGGCTGTCTTGCCAATTTGCTTATCAGTTGACTGCTAGAAATTATGTCCTGGAGCATTCGAGCATCCATCACTGCAGCAAACTTACTCATACCGTTAGTGGAAATCAAATAACGTCACTCCAACAAGACTGACTCCACAAGATTAGCCGCAGCCACAAGCCTACAAAACTTTCACTACAAATGGATTATTGCATTTTACTAGAGGAAAAAAACAACTTAATTACTTTCAAGGAAAACAGTGACCGACATAAACAAGCTTGTACTGGTTTATACAAAGTAATGACAAAGTTCAAGAAAAGTATTTTCAGACTCTAAAAGCTCCCTTGAATCCCACTGCACAAAACTTTCAAATCAAATCTCTTAGCAGTTCGACTCAGATGTACCCTTTTGCAAGCCCGTAGCACGAATATATTGCCAGAAATAGGTTTTGCCAGGGTTATAACATGTTTACGACAAAGGCGTTTGCTTTACCTTAATTAGTTTTGTTTCAATCTCCCCATCAGAGGCTAGCTCCTGGTGCGTCAGCATATACTTGTCACACTTAGCTAGTGCTTTTTCACTTGCAGCCGCTACTGTGATGGCGTGAGGGACGTGCGGCTGCATGACTGTTTCAGTGGGCAGATTAGAAGGTGGCTTATGATCTACCCATCTCTCCCCAGCTGAGCGTGACCGTCTGTGTCTGAGACGAACTGGAGTTGCATTCTGATCAGAGTGGGAGAGAATCAAAAGAAATCAGCACGCAGTAAATCTCAGATGATATCATTAGCAGAAGTGAACTTTGCAGGTCTGGTTAAGATGTGTTTGTATGAAGATCAAAGCTTGGTTTGTAAAGTGCTTTCAGAGTGTATCCTGAAAGGCACCGCTACCAAAAGCCTTGTATAAAATTATTAATGGGCTATTTCTGTGACGATTCCTATTTCTTGTAAATTTTAGCTAAGTGCTATCCAATCTGTTGCATTCCACACCTAGTAAAGTTTCCTCAAGGAGAATATTTTTATATTTGGTAATGCTCCTCCCAAGTTCCCAAATCAAAATGTATTGCTATGAACATATTAACCAACCAGAAAAGAGAAATTTACGTTTCCATGGATGCAGTCATGAATCAAAATGTATTTTTGAGGTAGGAAAGCAAGCAGACCGAGTATGGATTTCCAACATCTCTAAAGGATGCAAGGCCTCATAACACTGAGTAAACAGAGGAGAGGAAGCATGCCCTGTGCAAGTGTTATCACTTCTGAACTCAGCTGTTGGAAATCCACGAGAAATGACTGAAGTTCATGTTTTTTATTTTATGAACATGAACATTATTGTCAGTTGCTCAGGAAAATCAGAACAATCCAGAACAAGTTCTGGAAACTTGTTTAGAAACGGGTCCCTTCAAGGTCTTTGAATGAGCTTTTGAAAGAGTACTTGTAATTTTAAGAGACCTCTGAATCATTCTGAGGTTACACAACCCAAACCTGTGAATGCAAATCCCATCCACTGTGTTTTCAGGTGAGGAGCAGCAATTTGGATTTCTTTGACCAACAAACACAAGACTGGCTGTACCCTTGACAGATAATCCTCTTACAAGGCTAAAGCAGCTCTTAAAAATTAAACATATATGGGTAAGTGTGGCCATCAGCAAAAATCTTGCACTAAAATAAACAAAAGAAAAAGAAAGAATTTCAGTACTTTTTTTTTTCCCCTGTTTTAGTGGGCAAGTCCTTATTTCCATTGACGGCTTTTTGAAACAATTCTGCCAAGATGCCTTAGAAGTTAAGTTCTAAGGAGAGGGCATGCTACTACTGGTCACATTTTACTGGGTCAGAGCCCACACCCCTTACTCTGCTGACAGCAGTTCATGTATTGGTCAACTGGAATTGCATTTGCTTAAAAGCACGTCCCTTACTTCAAAGGGTCAGCAGGTGACAGAAATTTTGAGAACACTCTCAAAAATGAATTATGATAAACTTCCCTCCTCTCAAGACGCTCTCTCAAGAGGCTGGGGTTGTACAATTCTCTTTGATTTACCTGAGCCACTGTGACAGTGCTATAATGGGATAGAAAACACCACCAATACAAACATTTGCGCACACATCAGTTTAAGGGGGGGTAGAAGAAAAAAAAAAAAGCCTCCCACCTGTAAGCAAAGCCCCCAGTTTTAATGCAGATGTGAAAATTAGGGAAGATTATTCTATAGAGAGTTAAAGTTAACAGTCCCACAAGTGAGATGTTTGTCCAAGCGCTATTTCCAGTAGACATTTGCAGATATGGCTCATAAGACCACCTTTTAAGCTGCCCAAAAGAGACTACGGTAAATTGCAGGCTGCAAGATAGATTTGAGGAGACAGACACAAGTTAAAACACAAGGACATTCATAGCTAGAGAAAAAGTCCAGCTAGTTCAGAGTTCCTTACAAGTGCTTTCTAGGCGCCAGCAAGAAATACGCACGCTGCTTTTAAGGAGTTTCTAAACATCAAGAAGCCAAAGAGAATGAGTAGTGAGACTCAATTTAGAAAAAATACTGTCCTGTGAGAAATACATTTAGGGGAAAACTTCCATCTATGTTAGGCGTGCTCAATGTAGGAGAGCTTTTGAGCCAGACTAAGCAACACTACATTTAGTCTTTGACAGGCGTAGCACTAACCCTGCAGCATTGATCCTCTTCTATTTCTAGCTCATCTCTACGCCCGGGAACCTCAGTGACTCCAGTCCAGCATATCCCTCGCCTTCTGTCTGAGGTGTTATAGTGTCTACTTTGTTCTGGTTCTCGTTGTCTACTCCTCGCATTAGAAGTGCCACTGGCATGCTTGTGCGAAGGGGTTTTCTGCTCCCATTCCATAACACAGGATGCCACAGAAATGCTGCTACAAGAATTAGAACGTCTGCGCACCTCCGTGTTGCTCACGACCCGCTGGCTGTTAGGGACCTGAGTAATTAAGTTACCAGAAAGCTAGAGAGAACAGGAAAGAAGTTAGTGAACATACAGCACTGACAACTTACAAGGCAATAAAACAATGAGTACTGACAACGTGCAGAGAGCCAGTTCAGCTGTTCAAGCTTACGGTTTTGGAGAGGTATTGTGTTGCAGTGACAGCATTAAGAATCAGCTATTCTTCCAATATGACAGCATTAGAAGGTAGGAGCAAGAATAAGGAGCACTGATAAATACAACAGGAGGTGAAGAATACAAAACAAGTTTAAGTTATCCAGATTCTGCGCTTCGGAACTGTTTTCTAGCTACTAAAAAGAAGTGGCCTGCACTTTAATTCGTTCTTATAAATGTGCTCTGCCCTATATCAAGAAGTATTTCAAAGGCAACTTACAGGTAGTGGTGAAGGAGACACTGATCTCTGAACAGGCTTTTCTCGGTCTCTCTCCCTTGAAGGCCTCTCTGGCTTTTCATTTTTTGGTTCAGTAACAATGGCCTTCAGTTGCTTCAGTTTTTCATCTTTGACCCAAAGTTTGTTCTGCATCTCCAGTTGCTTTGCTGCTA